TAATTTTACAAATTGGAATTATCTAATAGTCACATAACAATTATTTTACTTAAATTATTACTTGTATTAATAAATTAATAATTTATTTATTCTTAAATTATTAAGTTTACTTGTTTGGAATGTAAACAAAGAATACTTAATTAATTTTTTCATCGTAAGGCACATCAAAAATATTTGAGGTTATGATGAGACCGATGGTTATAAAAAAATAAAGCAACAGTACAAAAATCCGTATAAAATCGACGCCGACATCAAAATCGGATTGGCTCTAATCTGCGTCGTAAGCCAGGACATGACATAACTCCGACAAGCCGGGCTTTAGTCATTTTTTTCTGATGTATCCACGCAGATAGATTTACATTTTATGACGTATTCATTGACTTCGACGACGTGCGGTTTGTTTTACTTGGACATTATTACTTGACTTTTTTTAATATCAATAACCGGTCAATTGAAAACAAATTGTAACGTGATCGAGTAACGGCTATAGATTTTGTAATACAAACATATACAAATTTAAAACCTAGTAATTATGATAAAACTAGCTTTCGCCCGTGACTCCGTCTACGTGGTTTTAAAAAAAACATAACCAATTAGCCTATGTGATCTTCCAGTTTAACCTTTACATCTATGTCAAATTTAATTGAAATCCGTTCAGCAGTTTAGGCTACAAACTCTAAAAAACATACATCTAAACTTTCAGATTTATAATATTAGTATGAAGTAGACCCTGAAGTACAGATTAATAACTAGTAACAGTTTTTTTTAATTAAAAAAAAGTTGAAACTTCTGATGTAAGTAAAAATTACTACAACAAAACGTAAGCAACATCTATAAAGAATTCAGTCGTAAGCTCCTGCGATTACGCTGCGTTTCGCGTGCGTCCCAGCTCCCATTTAATTCGGCCATACCTTCCGGGCCCGCGGCATCTGAGCAGACATTCCCTCACGCTATACTCGATTTAAATCCACATCCAACCGTATACATTGAATGGACTGTCGTTTGTGGTTTTATTAACAGATTGAGAATAAACGCGTGTCACTTATTTTATGATGAACTCATAATGAATTAAAATTAATAATTTACGGTTTTTTAATCTACTTATCTTAAGCTTTATCTACTAGCCAGAGGTACAAATAAATAGTTAGAAAAAAAAACGGTTTTAGACTGTCTTAAATAATTATATCCATTGTAAAAATAATGCTATCAATTTCAGACATATTTTTAGCTAATTGTACCTAGTTATAAATAAATAAAAAAAACGATTACGAAAAACCGAAGTCGAATTGAGTTTGTATTGATCGTAATCTTACTAATATTATAAATGCGAAAGTTTAGATGGATGAATAGATGGATGTTTGAGAGTTTGTAACCAAAACGGCTGAACGAATCTCGATGAAATTTGGCATGGACGTAGACGATAGTCTGGAAGCACACATAGGCTACAAACTTTTGTTTTTGTAAACTCCACGCGGACGAAGTTGCGGGCGAAAGATAGTAAAAAATAAACTGCCTAATTCTAGTAAAGTATCAATAGAATTGTGTGGTTTGTTTAAAGTTATTTCAAAACAAGAGCATACAAGATAAGAAAATAAAAAGCAACCGCAGCCATACACGATCGCGAGCGGTCGGGGGCCTTTTAATGAATTTATAATTTGCACCGTCCGACAACAATTAGAGTGCTCCCATATCGCCTCGGGAGCGAATTTTAAATGTTAAATCGGCCGTATTTTACAGGAACAACCCACTGGTTTTTGTTGAACAAAACATTTTAAAAAAGAAAAAAATACAATGAATCAATATGAAGCACAATTGCGTTAAAATTTACTATAATCTTAGTAGTTACATTGAAGTCTTGTAATTCTCATACAATTCTAGTTCATATTTCAAACGATTAACAAAAGATAAGTAAAGAAAAAATATTTTCATGTCCCACCTCCACAATCTGCTATTAAAATCCTTCCTCTATTTTGTTTTTGTTTCACAATAGTTTATTAAACGACGTATGTACATTTACTTCCATACTCCGTCTACCGATTCCCGCCAGAAATGCTTGACAGATGTCATACGGACGGATACGGCAATGATCTCTAGTGTTGCGCCGCTACTTCGGCACTGTACCTTTCTTAACACTAAATATCTGATGGTTAAGCCAAATTATACACTTGCACATGCTTAAAAATTCCTGCATTTGTAACATACAAATAATTAGTGAGTTCACTTTCCGACAAAACAGTAATCACAAGGTAGGTCGAAACAATTATTTAAACCATAATGTACACACCTGCCGTGGGCGAGTCGTTAGCTGAGAATAAAAACTGATGGATAATGTTCATGCAGTATATAACGACATATAACATTTTTTTAATAAATTTTTAAAAATCCATGTTTACACTTGGCCAGTACAGTTGGTCAGTAGCGCTCAAGAACTAGAACAAGAACCTAGAAAGAGATGGATGGATTGCGTGAAAGAGGATATGATTAAAAAGGGAGTGATGACTAAGATGGCGTATAGAGCTATGTGGAAGACAAAAACCTGTTGCGCCAACCCTACGGGAGTAGGATAAGGAGGAAGATGATCAGTAGCCCTCAAGAACTGGGCTGACAGTCTACTGACCTAAGGTAAACAGTAATTGTCGCCAGTGAGTCCATATAAACTAGGTCCGGGCCAGTGCAACTGTCCAACTGTCCTGGCCATATGTGCACCGGGTATAGTGATAAAGGTTTTATTCGGTCATCAGAAGAGAAAGTCGTGTTTGAAAAATCTAAACAGCACAAAAACCATTCATAACCTAACCATTGTATACGGGAAATAAAAATAATGCCGATACATTTTAATTGATTATTTAACGCGATAATTAAAAGTTGGTTTCAAAAAATAAAATATTTTATTCTATGTTAAGTCATAAAAAATCTTTAATTGCTTTAAACTTGGCAATTTTATTTAAGAATTTAAATTGGTGTGCACTTAATGAATACCATAACAGTGGGATAGGTCTTTCGCGTGATGGCACGATTCGAGAACCTTTATTTCGGCAAAGGGCAATTTGAAAAGTATCGCCTAGGGAAATGGAGAATGGCAACCGGCGTTTAGCAGTATAGAGATGACTACTGTTGGGTGAAATATTCTAAATGCACTAGGGCTGCACTTTTATATCTAAAACAGAAAATTGTAAAGAAAGTTGGAGAGAAAAATATTATTAAGTAAATCTATTAAAATATTGGGTGAAGGTAGACAAAGACTTTTTCTCACCGTGAAAGAAACTATTGGTGAAAAAAGAATGACCAAATGAAAGGAGTTTAAATAATTACAATTAAGTTTAACATTGTTGCAAAATGTATACTGTAAATTGTTTTCTATACGATACAACTATTACAATAAATAGTAAACATAAAAACAAAAGCTAACATCTTTCATAAGAAATAATTAAAGTATCACCAGCTAATGAAATGAAAGAGAAAATAGAAGTAAACTTTAGTATCTTCAACAAAAGTTAACCGTGCACCCCTGACAAACAAGACTTGGAAACGAATCGAGAAATTTTGTATGCAAAGATTTTAAACGTTTCGAGTGTTGAATTAGGTATCACAAATAAGTGGCCAAAAACGTTTGCACGAGAAGAGCCTCTGTCTGCTCTGTAATTGCTTGATGGTTTTATAGCGTTTAATTTAATCAAACGGAGAAATAAAGCAATAAAACTCTTATTAGTTCGGAAAGACTGTTAAAATTATTTGCAAGATTATTGTTTTGATTGCTTTTACTCCTATTAGAAAAAATGACTAACCTAGATGGTTTAAACTTGAATATTCTTTAAAATAAATTGCACTAAAAGCTTATGAAGAAAGATTGTAAAAATGTCAGCGCAATAGAGCGTAATTACAAACATTGACAAGTCACAATTGAATGCTTTTGGCTAAATATTTATCTTTTTATCTTTACCGTGTTCGTAGAAGCGATTGGTAGCGATATTCTTCAGTACTTTTCTTTCTCCAGTACCTCGTGCTAATTGCGTACAGAATGGATTTCATAAAGCGCCCAGAAATTGAGCGTTTTAATGAGTTTTCGATGTTATTTTTATTAGTTGTTATGGATTTTAAAATTGCCTGATGAGTTATTACTTTCCATTTAAATGGTATGCATTTATATTTTTAAATTTGATTATTCTCTATTTGTTTTATTCAACTTCCCGAATAAGATAACTTGTATCAACAATTTTAACAATTCAGTTTTCTATAAAAAGATTTTAGCCAAAAAAAATCTTCACAATTTTATGGACGTATGAAGAAAGTAGAAAAATTAAAAGTACATAACATTGTGCTAATTGTAAAATTAAAAAGAAACGCACCGTGAATGGGTAGCTTATTACGTGCCCTCGGACGGCGCAAGAGTTCTCGAAGATAAGGCGGACATCAGCAAAGAGATCCGCCCGCGATATCCCCGGACTAACAATTAACAATGAGACATTATACTCGCCGGTAATGCCGATAATTACCCGAGAGTTCGCCGATTTGCTTCCACGGCTTAAATTATAGCATCTTGTAGATTCACGTGTTTTAATTGACTACGCATTGAGGTTTTGTAAAGGCGCGGCAACCTTTACTTCCAAATTAGTCGACACTAATATTTTCAATACAGAGGATATTATTTTAAAATAATGTTTTGTATCTACTGTAATATTTTCATATTGCATAGTTTTTATCTCGGCAACAGATGGGCCGATTTCGACGGGACTTTCAGTGGATGGTAGCTGACATGGATAGTATTAACAAACCATACCTATTGAAAACAGGTAAAGTTCTAATTACATGTGCTTGTAAAATTGCGCCTTCTCTTGGTAAAACTTTATCCGTAAAATTCTATAAAACTCGTTTGTTAAACATAATCACTGGCTAGTTCTTTATTTGAAAGGCTCTCTGTCATATAAAAAACTATTTGGATCAAAAACAAATCATTTTTGATTACGTCAATATTTTAAAACCCTATTTTATGCTTTTGAAACTTTTGCATTAATTAATCATGATTTAAAATATCGCTAATTAAATTGAAATTCATTTTACTTTCAGATTATGTAGTTCTGTATAACAAACATCTATTTACTTGACGTAAATAGAAGTTGGTAATTATGTGTGTTAACTGAATGATGTGAAAGGTGTTAATATTTTAACACTTATGGTTGACAACGAGGATACAATCCTGCTTGTGAGGTACGGATCAAAATTTGTATAACCTTGTGTACTTAAACTATTCATTTATACGCGGATAGCCATCGTGGATATCCAGTATAAAAAACCTTTTAAAAAACATACTGATAGTCCCTTTTATGAGTGACTGAAGATTGAGATGACGGATGATAGAGTGCTTTGGAGGATGAAAACCCCGCGCGCCGACCCTACGGGAGTAGAAAAAGGCAGGAGAGATTATGATATTAATTGTCCCTGTTATTCTTTATAAAATGAATGAGATAATACTATGTTTCTGGACTTGTATTGTCAATAATGTACCAATTTGTAGATACAAAATATACACTAATTTACTAACATAAATTAGTGAATTAGATAGAGGAGACGCAGAGGAGAAGGGAATGTCCTTTTTCTGGGCTTCCCTCTGTTGATTAAAGGTATTTCTACAATTGGAAGGTGCTTTATGATTTCTTCGAGTTTAAGTGATTTCTCATTTTTTGACATCTTATAATATAAAAATCTTTGTTTTAGTGGTATGGTTTGAGAAGACCAATTTATTTTACTCTATAGAAGTTTACATTGGAATGATGGCAAAGACATATCAACAAGTTTTTTATTTGAGTGTCTTGTGTTTTGTGACTGGAAATGCACAATTTTCAATGGATAATAAAATAAGTGCATTTGATTTAAATTTATATGAAAATGTTTTGGATCCGAAATTATGTATGAAGCAGATAAGATACATGGCTGCTAACAACTCTGTGCTGTTAGCACAATGTGAGTTTGAAAAAAAATAACTTGTATAATCTGTATGTAATAAAAAAATAGATTTAATAGTGAAGTATAATCAAAATTGTACAGTAACTTATTTAATAATATTAGGGTCTGGTCAAACATACCACAATTGACCAGAGTAGATTTTTATAACAAATAAAATTGAGCTTCTTTGTGATAGAAACAGAATTCATTTTTTCACGTATTTTACGTTGTCACTTGTTAAGTAAAAATGTTCAAAATAAAATTAAACCTTGTTTCAATTATATAAAACTGAATTTTGTTTGCAATAAAAAAATCTACTCTCTGTCCTTGGATGGATCTTATTGCATTATTGTATTTTGACCAGTAGGTGGCAACTCATAGTAGAAGTTAAAGAAACTAATAATATGTTGCTTCATTTATATAAGGTAATATAAGAATCTTATGTCTACAGTATTTGTATCTATATTTCAGTCTTGGACGCTGGTTTGAGACTACCCAAAGGATTTTTTGATGGCAATGCAGATGACCTTGGGAATTTTTACCAATGTCTGGCTATAGATGCACCATTTGAAGAATCTCGTATTGCTGGAAAGTATTGCATAATACAGGTCCCACTAAGTCAGGATCTAACTCTGCCCGGCTTCTCAGCAAAGGCTGATGCTTTAGATGTTAGTAAATTTAAGTTGGGACCAGCCGCTCAACTTGTGTTAGAGAAATATTATACGGGTATCAAGGGATATCGTGCATTATCTGGCACACATTTAGAAGACAGGTAACTAAACTATACTTTAATCTCTTTTTCCACTGCACTCCTACATTTTAAGGAGAAATTGTCATGTCATGTTTTTGTATCAATGTATACTTCAGCTTTTTTGTTTCCTTTTCAGTTTTTGTTCTTCTTTTTGTACTGCTTCCAGTGATTTTAATACCTATGTGTGCTATGGTTATAAGTGCTATGGTTCTATTATGGAATTTGTAGTGGAAATTTTGTTTACAGAGTTGCACATGTCACCGGAACAATGTTTAAATTGGCGGTATGCATTCCACGCTCATGTACCACAGAGGTAGCAATAACTACATTATTGTTTAACCTTTCCACTATCGGATTTGATTATCAAGAACAATTTTGTCGTCTACCCAACGACAAACCGTGGGTGTCGGCTGATTCAGCGGCAGTGTTAGCATTTTTTTATTCTTACATAACCTTAATTCTTCTTCAGTGATTGTGAGTTTCTAAAATTATTGATGATGATTTTCGATTTGTACGGATTTTTATGAATGTGTAAAAATAATTTAATTGAAAGTTTTCATTAAGAAAATTCGTACCAACATTAAATAAAGTAGTAATTATACTTCTTTCAGACTTATTTTCTCTATGATTGGTCTTCTAACACTAATGAGCAGCGTGTATGAACTGACGCATATATTCCTGTTAAAGACAGGTAATTTCACATAAATTTTCTATGTTATTTGTATTATTTTGAAGAAAATTAGGTATAATATTTTTATTTTTCAGATACGAAGTCTGTCAACATCTATTACCGTTCATTTTCCATATACAACAACACACGTAGTTTATTTCATATCCCTAAAGAACATCATTCACTGCAGTGTATCAACGGCATTAGAACTATAGCCACTGTGTGGATTATCGTAGGACATTCTTTCTCCTCGTTGTCTGGTTTACTTAACCCTTTCAAAGCCTGGGAGGTAATATAAATAAAATACTTATTCCTTCACCTAAGAGCGCGTACATACCTTTAAATTAACTATGGCATAACTGTTTAGTCACGCTTTGATTCCTATGAGCTTACGTATATGGAGGTGCGCACAGTTCACGATTTTTAGTTGGGAAACTAAACATTTGAATTGGCTGCGAAACAATCGACAATCGCACAACAGTTCTGCAATAGTTAGGTCAAATATTTGCGCCCGTTCTTAAGTTTCTAGAAAATTTACAATGGTATATGAATATTGTTCTAGCTTATTTCTTTTGTTCGTGGATTGAATAGTTTATTTTCTTAAGTTTAATAATTTGACTATGTTTTCAGTGGATGATATCAGTCGATGGCTTATGGGTTTCATCAACGCCTATCACAGTGGACACATTTATTGCAATCACGGGCATGCTTTTAGTTTTCACAACCGCTAAGAAAATGGATGCAGGTTAGTCCGTTGCGTTCAATGAGTATATCTGCATCAGAATTTATATGAAAATGATGTAAATAATAACTCGTCTTTTAGAAATACCTTCTACACACATGTTTATTTCTCTTAACAAGATCTGTATTTGCGATTTTATATATTTTTTCAGGTGCTTTGCTTCATAATCTTCATATATTTTATTTGAATCGCTTGCTCCGTATGTTTCCGTTACTCGCGACGGCGGTATTGTTGGACGCATCTGTGTTCCATAAAATGGGAGACGGGCCGTATTGGATGGCGGTCGCGACCAACGCACAAAAATGTAGAGAATATTGGTGGACCACGTTGTTGCATTTGCAAAACTATCTCAATCCGAGAGATATGGTAAGTCTTCGAATAGTCATTTAAATTATAGATACAGGCTTATCGATCAAAATGTGATTAAAATGTTTTCATAAGAACCAATAAATTCATTGAAGTTATCTTGAAGAGTACAATGAAGGTTTTTATCCCTTTAGGCAAGTGAGAGGTCCGGAATCATATATGTGTTTCAAATAAAAGTTTGTAGTTTTTTAAAGTAGAGATTATGGGCATCGCCGTTACTAAGTTTTTATTTAAGTAGTCATATCTATTTTAATTTTTTTGATTCTGGAGGACCTCTGCCCCATCCAAAGGTGACATGTGCTGTAACAAATTGATAGAAAAGTACAGATGGAAAATAAACCTTGCATAAAAGATTATCATCATAATACATATAGCAAGGGTTGTATTTGATATATTTTTCATGACAAATTTTCAGTGTGTACCACATTCTTGGTACGTCGCGGTGGACGTCCAGCTTCATATGCTGTCGCCTCTGGTGCTGTACTGGGTGTTGCGAGGGCGGCGACGAGTCGCGAGCGCCGCGCTTCTGCTGGCACTGACTGCTACGTTGATTGTGTCCGCGATTTATAACGGTTTCATGGATCTACCAGCGCATACTATTTCACCAGCGTATGTATATATTCCATATTATTATATCTATAAATCTATATGTATATCTTTACTTAATATTCTAAAGAGGAAAGATTTATATTTTTGGAATTTTGTATTTCAAAATAACTCAAAGACAACTGGGTTCATTTAAAAATTCTTTCACCATTAAAAAGCTACATTATCACCGAATAACATAGGTTGTGTTTTTACTAACTTTTCTTCTATTCCTCGTGGACGAAGTCGCAAGCAACAGTTAGTGGTGAATAAATTAAAAAATAAAACTATAATGTGAGAAAAGGACCATAACTACAAGCTAATAGCAGTACAAAAGCAACTTGCATGGTATGAGAAATGTATGCTAAGGGATTTCGTAAATCAGGTTGTCTACCTTTCTTAACATTGGCTTAAGCCGATATTGAGAACCATAGTCAAACAATTGAATTAGAATTTATTGATATCAATAATTAGTTAATTAGTACTTTTATAAAAATCTCGTTTCTAAGAAGTATTCTTACTTTATAACATTGTTACAGACGCAATGATCGTGTAATGGAGTACATGACAAAGTATTACTTTCATATAATATCTCGAATCGCTCCGTTCCTCGTGGGCATGATGTTTGGATATATTCTTCATCTTTGGCGAGGGAAGAGGGTTTTGATCAATGTGGTGAGTTATTTTCCTTAAAGATAACATTAATAATCATACGACGCTCAAGACTTCAATATATTTTTATGTATTTGCCGCTAGGCCAATGGCTTATAAGATATTAAAAACATATATAGAGTAGGCATAGTTAAATTGAAACATTTTTGTCATAATCTCACTAACGCTCCCTATTAATAGATCCTGAAAATCTCATCTCTTAATTGTATTAAAATTTATTGCTATTAGGTGTCATTAAATAATATGTAAATGTTTATTTTTCAAGCTTATGTTTGCAAAGCGTTTTTTTAAATAGCAATACAAGGACACGAAGTGACATTCTAAACTTGACAACTGATATATCTTTCAGATGTACCGGTGAAAAAGTTCTTTTCACTATGCCTAGTCTATGTATTAGTTAAATATCTTTGGCGCAAAACGAAGTCTTCGTTATCCTCGTTTGTCTTTGTCTCCAGGATGACGATGTTAATGGAAACTCAAAGAAATGTTATAGTTCACAGTGCAAGGTCTGTGGGTGGTATCACTGTGTGTGATATCCGGCACGCTTTACATGCTGCACCGCGTGAAGCAGCTGGACTGGCAGCGGCGCGCGGCGGACGCGGCTCTCAACACGCTTATGCGACCGTTGTGGGCCGCCGCCATCGGATGGATAGTAGTCGCCTGCGCACACGGATATGGAGGTGAGGACCTGATTCCACCGCATGGTTCCACTTTAAAAGTGTAGCTTTTGTTTTATTTTATTCATGGTGCATACTTGGCGTTCACATTGTCAGCCCTGTAAAAAATATTATCAAATCTTATCTTACTAATATATTAGGTATAAATGCGAAAGTTTAGATGAATGTTTGTAAACTGCTGAAGGGATGTCGATGAAATTTGATATATAAGGACAGTTAGAATAAGCTACTTAGTTTTTAATCACAAGTGGACGGAGTCGCAGACAAAAACTAGTAGTTCTCTAAGTGTGAACCTCTCATAAACTTAACGAAGTAACGGCCCGAGCCGAGGCTCCTGAGGGAGCCCTCGAGCCTAGTTACTCATAAAAGAGGTTTAGGCTAAGCGCCATCTGCGCTCGGCCACGTAAAGCCCGGTGAATCTGTAAATACCTCTTCAAGGCAAACAGTGACAACTCAGTCTCAAAGAAAAAAAAATGTATTAACATTTTGTATGCATTGTGACGACGACGAGGATCAATATGTAATAGTTCCCCTGTATATTACTGACTTTCATATCTAGTGATTTTATTTGCTCGTTTTCAGGTCCCGTCAACTGGTTTTTATCTTTACCATTATGGCGGTTACCGGGCAGACTCACTTACGGAATGTATTTATTTCACTATCCCATTATAGTGGTTGTTAACGGTACTATAATTGGACTTCAATACTTTTCTGTACCTAATGTTGTAAGTACTTTCTATGTAATTTAAATTACTTTACTTTTAAATAACAGTGTATTGCTAAAGTAACTACATATTAGTGTTTTTATTTAACTAAACGAAAAAAAAAATATGTACAACGCCATCTAACGGAATCTGAGAATAAGTAGTTTATCGTGAATAGACAGCAACATAGTATGAAGAGTTTCACAAAAGATGGCGCTAGAGTGAATTATAATATTTCACCATTTTGCTTAGGAAAGCAATTTACTATTTTGAGATAGCATGAAACCGTAAGAGTGTAATGTCTGGTGGATAGATGGCGTAATAGTCAGTTTATCGTACTAATAATAAAAATGCGAACGTTTAGAGTACTTACTAAGGTTTTTTTAATTCCGCTTTTTCCTTGCAGATGTATCAAGCGTTGTCATTTATAGTGCTGTCTTTCATAGTATCCTTCATTCTTACGGTACTAATAGAAGTCCCATTTACGTTTATCTTCAAACGTCTCCTTGAAAAAGGTAACATTTAATTTATTATTTTTAGGTTAGAGTTGGAATAATTTTAACAACAGTATTTTTTTATGGATTTTCTGGCGTCTATTGATTTTTATTGCCTATTCCAGGACTTTCTAAATCAAACAATACGAAGAAGATTGATGAAATCGAAGCATTTGAAATAGAGTCCAGGAAGGATCAAGATTAGTGTTTGTAGCTTGTGACAAAACTATGAAAATTTTTACTTAATTCGGAGGAAGATTAGGTTTAGGTACTTTATCTAACCCTAATTAGGTTTTCGATAGTTTTATTTTTATAGACATTATATTTTTGATACTATTCTTTATATTTATTTTATACAACGCACTGAGGAATTCGTAACGTTCGAATTATGTTACGAATTTTCGAAGTATGTACGTGGTTTATTTTTAATTAGTTGTATATTTTTGATACTATTTTATACATAAATTTTGATATTATTTATATTTACTGCTTTTTGATAAATATATTTTTTCATTCTCTTTGTTTTTTTTTTATCTTTTTTTATAACAAACGGTGGCAAAGAATTTGGAAGTAGATCTGATAAAGGGCGACCGCTATACAAAAGCGCCATTTATGTGTTGACTATAGTTATTAGAGGAATAGAAAGTTCAGTATATTTGGTGAGAGTCAAAATGGCGGGTGTACCATCGCGAATTAAATTATACCACTTACTAAAAAAATGGTGAGAGTCAAAATGGCGGGTGTACCATCGCGAATTAAATTATACCACTTACTAAAAAAATGTACCTAAAATGTACTAATTAGTAC